GATCGAACATTTCTAAACAAAGTTATCGTTCACACGGACAGATAGATGGACAGACAGACAAAGGAACAGACGGAGAGACCACCCGGCAGGCGACAGATAGCAATGCAAAATTATAAACGATCTCTAGGATCGTTAATAAACGGCAAAAGTGTAAAATTATGGAACATGTAAAAAACGGTTTTTTGTTTTTTTACAATAACTTTTTTTGTAAGCGGTACAGAAAAAAATCCTTCCTTGGTACAAGACTCGACACCATAACGAACCAAATAGCGAAAAAAGTAGAACAATAGCTCTTAAGATAAAAAACTAGTAGCGTTGCAAAGTTAGCGGACGGACGGACGGACGGACGGACAAAGTGGCCACAATAGCGCATTTTTTTTTTATTTTTGTGGAAATGCGCTAAAAATGCTTGGCTTTATTATCAGAAATTGTCGTGATTTTTCCAATATTTTTGCTATCAAATCTCTATATGCTGCTTATGTGCGATCCAAACTAGAGTATGGTTCTCTAATTTGGTATCCTTACTATGACTGCCATAAAACAACCCTGGAAGCAGTGCAGCGTAAGTTTCTGAAGTTTTTATCGTTTAAATTGGACAGAGTTTATCCCGCGATTGGTACTGATCATCAAATACTGTTATCTCGATTTCAGGTACATTCCTTAGAAGTTCGCAGAACTCTGTCAAGCCTTAACTTTCTCTTCAATTTGTTACACAATAACCTAGATTGACCATCTCTTCTTTCCCAAATTCGGTTCCATGTGCCACGTTCTTCGGCTCGTAATGTATATACTTTCAATTGTGCTAAGGCCAATACAAACTTACTTTGTAAATCACCAATATTTGTTATGGTAAGCAACTTTAACAAAATTGCTAATATGTGTGACATTAACACTTGCTCAGTATCTGATCTTAAAAGATTGATGGAATATTTTTAATCTTATTTTTAATCTTGTTTAAGTTTAATACCATTTAATTTGGTTTTTATTAGGTTAGCGGTTAAGATATTAGTATATTTAGTTATTGTGCTTTCTTAGATTAGTAATTGTCCTATAATTGGAATTTGATTCTGTTGGGCAATAAACCATATTATTATTATTATTATTAATACCTAAATTCTAATCGCAACTTTAAATTTAAATGTTTATGAATGGCAAACGCACAATGCAATCCATAGACGCGATACCGAAAAATGTTTGTTATTTTTTTCTAACACGACTCAACCGCCTACCAGAATTATTTTTCTATAGAGATTAGTTTTTCTATTATACAACTTAAAGGTGCATTTAAAAAAAATTCAGCGTCAAAACAAAATGACCTTGAAAATGGTTTCTTGATAACTAAAAAATAACTCAATCTACATTAATTTGATCTAATCTACAGTGAAAATATTGAAATGCCACATCTAATGGCCTATATTCTATACATTTTTGTGCAGTCTGAGAGACGTAAATGAGTCTAAAAACACGTATAAAGCCACAAACATTTCTCGAAGAATGAACTCACCTCCGGGGGGGGGGGGGATTCCATACCACCGGGTCGAACGCGGAGGGGGCCACAGAGATAATTAACATTCACAAGTAGGCCAACAGTAAAAAAAGGTTGAGAAACTTTGGTCTATTATAGGTACCTTTGGATTTATTTTTTTATAAGATTATATTATTGTGATGGAACCGAATTAGCCCGCTAAAATTCGATTTAAATATTCCCGAAACCGACCCTGGCCATAATTTACAATAAAAGTGTCAAATACAATGCTATGCGAGGGAACTTAATGATCCCTATCCACTAGACGTCTCGGAACACGGTCGATATTAACAATTTTCGTCTAGGATTTGTTTAAAAAGGGAAGATTGCGGGAGAGGTATTTGTGCGTTTGTTGAGGGCAGAAGTAATTTTCCCGTTGTGAATAGTGAGTGCAGCTTCGACAATTACAAAGGTGATGTACTCGTTTTTTCATCTGTACGTCTAATGCATCCATCTAATAATGATATGATCGTGTTCGATTATTTGCCAATTTAATGCTATTCTCGTACAGCATGCTTATTGCCATTTATGACACATTCTAGGTACAACTTGCACTTTTAATTATACTGGTTATACTTTGAATTAAATGCATAGAGATTCTACATAAATATGTTGTTTCCCAATTTGCATTACTTCTTTGTTCCAAGCGCTGGCTACATGAATTACTGACCGATTTATGTGTTTTATTTATATTTAGATACTATATGTTCCCTTAGGGGCGATATTCAATACAAGTATGCAGAACTACATTTTAATTTATAATTGAATTTATTGCAGCACATTTCGCTTTTGTTGGCATGAAGATGTTACTGTTTATTTACAGGGTGCTTCATCTGGGGGTGAGTGACGTGCGTTAGGTGGTTGATTGTTACATATTGCACTTGGCATCGAGAATTAACTACTTTACACTCATGTTTGCCACGATGCTTAGTTGTAATGTGATAGTGCATAACGTTATGCTCCTACTATTTATTTGAACCGGGTGATTATGATTATTCATATTTGGCAGGGTGACTTGTTTCGAATATGTACTGTGCTATATTTGATATTGATATTTGATACCGATATTTAATATCTCGATGTGACCTAGCAGAGGCTGGCTAAAGTTCAGAACTGACATACGCAGAGATGGTTTTGTGTCAGTCTTTGTTATGCCAGTGCAAATATGTCAACTGTCAACGCCTACATAAATTCTGTATATTTTGTTTATATTATGTATGCGTGCGAGTTTGACGATGGTTGCTCTGTTATTTTTGTTATGTCATGATTTGTCTTTTGATCGGTTACTGTCAGTACTCATGGTAGAGAGCCTGAAGTTCGGTAATTTCATAGAGTAATATTTATTTACTCTATGGTAATTTATAACCCGGCACTTTATAACTAGTGGGTTGGACTGGCCCTAGAGATGTGTGAATGAAAGAGTTGGGGTCCCGCTTAGTCGTACATGCGAGCGCTGGCTAAGCCCGGCCTCACTTGCGCAGGGATTCGCTAAAAGCGTGCGACCTGTTCTCGTTGTGACCTTTTGTTTGGTTATCAATTTGGGGTATCCTTCCTATGTGAAAGGCTCTTCTGAGAGGCCAAGTCCTAGCGATTTCATACAATGCTGACATGTCATGACCAGAGTAACTAAAGACCACTCGGTGTGGGATTTTGACTGGCCATCAAATATCCAAACCTATTATATGAATTATTTATTGTAATGTTTTAATGATTGTTTTTTGTTATGTGTGTGAAATATTCTTTCTTTAGGAATTCCAGCGGAGCCTGTGATTCAACATTATCCTAATTTACTTGACAACCATCCTAATATGCATTCATGCGATTACAGACAATTAATTTTGCTATAAAGTTCACTATTAATTTGTTGGCTGGTTTTTTTCTTGGTCAGTTCTTTTTTTCCCAATCTATTGTTACATTTGTACTCGGTGAACTACCATTTTCTAAATTTAATCTTGCAATGCGAATTATTTGGATTAAATCTCCGTTTTTAAAGCATGTACTTGTTTTATTTGTATTCCTTACTTGATCCTCACTCCGACGAGCAACACATATCTTGTAGCACAAGAACACAACAACAACACAACGTAGTAAGTGGTCCTATTATTTCGTTATTCGGGTTAGGTAGCTTTGTCTAGACGATCACGTGCAACAAAATACGTATATCCCTGTCTACTTCTTAATAAATACCTCTGTATAGTGTATATACTTTGTAAATTTAATGCGTTTTTTAATTGCATGGTCTAAAACTGCAACTAATCAAATTGTTCAAAAACTGTTATATTTAAAATCGCGCAAAACAGTTTCGGAGGTATCGAGGGGGGCCAGAATGACGTTATGAGTGACAACCCCCCAGCCCCCCCCCCCTCTTCAAAAATCCTAAATGGCAACCCTATACTTGTGACACATCGTTGGAAAGCTACTGAAAAATGCTTTCCAGTGGTACCAATAAAGTCAATATTCATTAAGACAATTTAACAAAAATTTAATAATTAACAAAAAAAAACTAAATGTTGACATTGAGTGATTTATGGCAAATTGACCAAGAACTTCAACCTGGGCTGCTTCATTAAGCAATCTTGGTTGCTTTCTTTTTTTATTGATAGCAGATCCCGTTTCTTCGAATTTAGCGACCAAATTTTGAACATAGGCATTACATTCCTCCCAGGATGTCTCTCATTAAACGTTCTAGCTGTTCTAAAAGGTAATCGATTTTCGGAGCCATAAATAAATATTATTTCCACACGTTCAGCTGTACTGGAAGTCAATAAAAAAAGAAATCAAGATTGCTTAATGAAGCAGTTCAGGTTGAAGTTCTTGGCCAATTTGCCATAAATCCCTCAATGTCAACATTTAGTTTTTTTTGTTAATTTTTAAATTTTTGTTAAATTGTCTTAATCAATCATTGACTTTATTGGTACCACTGGAAAGTATTTTTCAGTAGCTTTCCAACGATGTGTTACAAAGATGGGGTTGCCGTTTAGGATTTTTGAAGAGGGGCGGGGGCTGGGAGGTTGTCATACTGGTTTTGGTTTCCCCTCGATACCCCCCGAAACGGTTTTGCGCGATTTTCAATATCTTCTTTAGTTTGGAAAATATGGCTGACTGCAAGTTTTAAAATTGACACCCTGTATATTCTATTCATTGGTAGTAATGCTATACCTATAAATAGAATGATACATCCTTGTGGTTTCTTTTATTGCAACTTTATTTAAAATTACACAAAATAAATATTATATTTTAAGTGTTGCAACCATTGTGAGTATTCTTCTTGGTTCTTGGTACATACAATTAGGACCAGAAGTAATGTATGGAATTACAGTATTATAGTTATATTTTTGGCTTGGCCAACAACATAGATGTTTGCATATACAGATGTAGTATAGATGCTTATAAAATATCGCTAAAGCTGCACACATTACTTTTGACCCTTAGAGAGTTTCAGACAAGCTACTTGTGAGAAATGTATTCACCCTAATCACAATTTTAAAATTTATTTTATAACATTAACAACCCTGTACTAGAATAAATGGTAACATACAATGGCTACAATTCAAACATGATACGAGCCACCATCTAACTTCTCATCGGAGAGCGAAGACCACATCCATTGTGACGTTTCTTGACTTACCCACAATAAACCCAACAGCCAACCTTCAAGTATACCGAATAAAACTCCCGCACCCACGTCCAACAAATGGTGACGACACAACAGAATTCTGCTTATACACACCGAAGTGGCCCACGCCAACAATGGAGGATAAACGAAAGCTGTCAACGGATACAAATTTATAAAGAAGTACACAACGAAAACAGCACGACTAGCGTGACCAGAGGGAAAACTAAATTTATCTGGCCCTATCTGTCCCAATGCGTCATCGGTATTCGCCACGGGACGCCTACGTCGCGTGTATGCTTTGGTTAAAGCGATAAATATCACATCTATGATTAGGCCTAGTAACAGATTTATCTGCATTTGTACTAACGAGTTATCCGTATAAATCCACATAAATGCTAGCACACAAGCGAACCATACCACTCCATGGCACGATATCTGCAACGAAATGCACTAGTCACACAAATCCGAAGTACACATGTACAACCTCTAATCCTTTGTAATGTATCCGAAGGGTCCGCAGTGGTAGGTATTGATTGGCCCATAACACAAATTTTTGCGTGTAAATTTTATCGTACTCTAATAATGTTTGTAGATGTGATGGAAGCTTACGTTTATCAGCCTGAAATGAACAATATTATTCAAATGAAAATCAAAAATCACATTGTAACCATCTTATGGAGAAATCACACTTGAAGCGTGTAACCAAATTCCTTATCTAATGACGAGACATTATCATTTATCACAGCCTTTGTCCTTTTTTAGTATCATGTGAGCTTCTATTTAATGCACTATATTTCCTTTTTTGCATTCATCACATGCACCAAATTTTTATCTCATTTTTATGTCATCAGTAACCTAAAATTAGTCAACTTGTCATGATAGTAATAACCTATACAATAGTGCAGTTACTATACAGGGCAATAATCATAACGAGCTTCATTTTGGTTACCCCATTCGCGATTTAGAGGCGCTGCTGGTGTAATTTACAAATGGCGTGTATAGGTGGTAGCGCTTTTACCGAAATTGTAACAATTTGAAGTGAGTTTTTGAGACTTGACTCTTTGTCTTGAATTTTAGCTTTAACACGCAATTAACTTAATATTCTAATTATAAATAAAGGTCACAATGGGGTCATCCCGTCTTCATTTTTTATTTCTCATCCACAAAGTACATTAAAAATAAAAAGACCCGTGTGTCCTCAATTTTTATTTGCGAGTAAAATAAACCCAAAATAAATTATTGAAAAGCTGTGTTTTTAGTCCGAATTTGAAACGCTTCAGACTAAATACGTCACAAACCTACAACCAATTACGTAGAAGTGAGCTGGCAACCTTACGCGAGGGTCTGACGTTTGTCACATTTGACGTTTTGAGAGGGATGTTTAACTGCATCTAGCACGAAAGTGACAAGTGCCTGTGACAGATGACGCAAGTTATAAATGCCATTCTCCTGCAATATTGCCAAGTGGTTATGTCATCTGAATGGTTCTAGAGCTGATTGGTCGGGCTTATTACGTCACAGAGCCCGCCACAATCATATCGTTTTGAATAAACCTTTAAAACCGCACATGTTCATTATTTTTTTGCTAATCAGCCTCTATTTTTAAATAAACTTTTACTGTCCAAAAAAATGTTTTATGGTTTCAGGTACACGCTTATTAAATTAGAACTGCGGAATTCAAGTTCAACTATACTGTAAACCCCCATTTATCATTCAAGTTCTAACGCACTCGTAATACAACTTTACAACTCGCCGAAATTCCCTTACGTCGATTATGCTGTAAAACAGCCTTACTATTCGTGTGGATAATTACACTAATCACAAAATAAACAATAGCTATTTTTCGATGTGTCGTGCTTTAACAAATGACGATTTAAATTGTTTTTAGTAGGTTTTTGCGGCATACCTAATCGCACAGACTGCACGTAACATCTTTTAATGTGGTAGGTATGTATGTTTTAAGGTATTCCACTTTAAGGATAACTCCTTACCGTGAGTAACGAAATTACACTGGCCACATGTCAAATTTTTGAGAAGTTGTGTTGTGTGTTAAGAAGTGACGCTTTTAGCGTAATTATACTGATAGCACTGATAGAAAGTTATTCAAAGCGGAGTGTGTCAAAGAATGACGTATATATTTTCGATTATTTGTTGTGTAATTGCACTGTTTACAATATAAAATCTTGAAAGTAATATGATAAAATGGACATTTTAAACTATCCTTGTTGCTCGGGACGTCATAACGGCATGACGCCCCACACATCTAGGGTGACAACCGCCCTAGTAGTGCTCCCTGATTGTCATAGAATCGATTAAAACTGGTGATTGCTAAATTGCTTTGTAAGAGTGGAGGTGAACGAAAATTCATTTTTTTTTCGATTCTGCGTCTCTACTAAAAATCCAAACTCAATCTACAGCATATTTGGAAAATTGAACTCAAAGTTGAGTAGTGTAACTAAACTAAGTATACATTTCCACCGAAATGAATTTAATGTGAAGCATCATAGGAATATACTTTCAAAAATAGAGTGAACTCGGTAATGAGAGTACAGACAGACAGACCGACATCGAGATTTTGTTTGATTCGGATTCCTCGTACTTCAAAACCTGTATTTGTCAAAAAAGTGGAGGGCCATCTTTTACCCCTAAGCCAAAAATTAAGCATCCACCGCCTTATACACTCCAGAAGGGAAGGAATACCTCTCGCATCCGCCATAGATCGACTCTTTGCAGTTAACAACCGCCGCTTAACGAGGAACTCCTTTTTTTGTATCAATCGCTGCTTAGCATCCACCGCCTTATTGACGCGAGAATGTAAGTAATATCTTTGGCATCATCAATAGATCGCCTCTTTGATAACAGCGGCCCAGGGACGGACGGAGCGGTTTCTTAAAGGGGGGGGGGGGGGAAGTTAAAAATTTTTCAACTTTCGAAATGCAAAATGCCAACAGATAACCGTACACTAAAGAAACGTTACAATATTAATACTTCTTTTAAATTACGTTTATCGTATTAAATCTGTCGAAAGTTACCATCTTCGTCACCCTCATTTTCTCTAAACGCCAACCTCTGTTTTCCTTCTACCATAGCATTCCGTATCTTCATTAACGAGCTCCTAGCGAGTTCATGACTTTGGATTTTCTGTCCGTCCGTTCCGAAGGGTTTCGAATTTTCCAATTCTGTTTTCAGTATTTTGTTTATCATCACTCAAGGAACGACTGATTAAATGCTCAGTGACCCAGGAGCTCGTTTGCTATGTTTGTTACAAGTTTATTAACGAGCCACAAAAAGCGGTTTTATGATTTTGGACTTTCTGTCCGTCCGTCCGTTCGTTTGTTTTTAGCAATAGGTAGACAATAGTTAATCGACTCTAATTCATTAAATTTTGACCAATATTCGTCAACCGGAAGTGACTTTGTAGCTTGTTGTCTATATTGGTAGGTACAGTTTATTTTTAGTATCTACAGTGGTGTATCCATCAGCAGTAGAAAAGAAAGAAAGATAGATACCTCATTAGATTCTGTATTGTTTGTAATCATGATTTAAAATGCCCTCACACACTGTACCTACACTGCACCTTGTATCGCTTTCCAACATGTGGCTTCATTTTCTGACCAATAAAATATGAGCCGTGATTTCCAAATAATGATACGCTACAAATAAGCAGATCGAGACTGGGTCACTATGAAACGTAATGACTTTGCTACCTATTTCTATGTGGTGAGTATTTAATCGTTCATTTATTACTCCATGAGATATGCATTTAGTGCGAAATGAAATAGTTCTGAATAAGAGCAATTAAATATGATATGGTCTACTGCCTGATATGAGAATAAAATTCTTTGTTTGGTTGTAAAAATGTGTGACAACTTAATATGGTAGATGAAAAATATAAATAGGCTTACTTCCGATTAGCTTGCTTGCAATTACAAAATTACCAACTCAGTTCCAGATTATGCCAACTACCACACAAGTGAGGAGGTGCCTCCCGCTCTCCCCCTTTATCGGTTCGTCCCTGCAGTCGCCGCCATTGACTTCGAACACATTTTTCGTACCAATCGCTGCTTAGCATCCTCCGCCAGAACGCGAGAATGGAAGGAATATCTCTCGCATCTTCAATAGATCGCCTTTTTGTTTACGACCGCCGTTTAACTTCGAACGTCTTTTTCGTATCAATCGCTGCTTAGTATCTACCACCTTATACACTGGAGAGGGGAAGGAATATCTCTCGCATCTTCCATAGATTGCCTCTTTGTTAACGACCGCCCACTAACTTCTAACGACTTTTTTATATCAACCGGTGATTAAGCGCCACCACGTTGTAGAAAATCTTCAGAGGTACGTATAGTTTGTTAATATTTCAAGCTTGAAAATTGCTGCCCGTCTGATAATGTGAATTATGTAAAACATGTAGAGAACTACTTACTGCTATTATGGTATAATTAGAAACACATGTATGGTTGTACATCATTTTTTAACTTTTATTAAATCGTGGAAAAATAACATAACCTTTTAAGAAATTGAAGTTGGAATGTTACGCACTTGGTACACCCTTACCAACTTAAAAGTAATCTTGAAATTTGGAGTAATAATACAATATCGGCTAGTGTTCTTGGTTCTAGTAGACTCCTGCAGTTTTCAAGGGAAAGATAATCTAAGTAGTTTCCCGTTGCTTTCTGGGATCGCAGTGAGTTGAAAGATTTACTTTTGCACGGTACGATCTCCCCGTGTAATGCAACAGGCACCGTGCATCCTGACAGCACACGGCATGCTAGATTTGATAAATTTTCCAAACATTGAATACCGAACTTCTCTATTTTTTAGAACGGGCGATCAAAAATGAGTTGCTGTCGAGTCGCCTTTAGAAGTTCAAGTTAAGTACGATTTACCATGTAAACATAAATTCCAAAGGTCACTCGACAGCAACTCATTTTTAATCGCAGAGTATGCATATATTAACCATATGCATATTTTATGTTGTCGTATACAGCAAATTGGTTGCTCTTTTCAAATATCGTAAGAAATGCATTGCAATTGAAAAACAAAAGTTGCATCGATTTCTGGTTACACAGGAAGTGATACCGGAAGTTTGAATATGCCATCAGATAGATCGTAATGTCACATATAAAATTATATTTAACACATTTTTCGTATCTCGCTAAATGAAGGAGTTATTGCGAGGTGCCCCTCTTATCTCGAACGCACTGTACATGTATATTTTTGAGTAATATACCGTTTCTGATTTTGTTGACGTATTTCCAAAATTTTTACCAACGATAGTCCTTCTCGTCAACCCCTTATCGTGATCGGATATAATTCTTTCTTACGAACAATTGTCGGGGAGACGATCTGGAAGGAACATATCCATGATTGATGAGGTCAAAACTTTAAGAGCGAATATCTCCAAAAGGGTTTGTGGGAGGAAGAAAGGCAAAATGAATCGTCTAGACGAGACATATCTATTGGTGAAGTCGAAGCGAATCTCTTCAAAACGAAGTGTCGGAAGAGGGTACTCATGAAGAGCAAGTGGAAGGTTAGGACGAGACATATCTATTTGTGATATCAAAACTTTCAGTGAAGAGCGGAGTGTCGGAGGAGAGTACTCTCAAAGGGCGAAAAATGCGCTTTATCTGCACAAGAGTTGTGCACAATTTATGCTTGCTTTAAGTATTTTTCCATTTCTCTTTGAAAAATACACAGAAAAATGGGCGGTCATATACTTACAGTGGATTGGTTCCCGTGAAGACGATTTTCAATTTCCCGTAATGAAAAACCAACCTCTTACCAAAATCGCTTTAGGCATAATTGCACTCTCCAAACAATTTAAAATAAAAGTACTACAAGAATAGACAAAAACCTTTGCGATTTAACAC